TTCAAAAAAATATATTATAATAAAACTAAAGTTTAAATAAGTGTAAATAAGTTATATTATTTCAGTTTTAGTTTCAGTAGGCTAAATTTTTTAGTTTGTAGAACTTCAACTTGTCAAGGCAACATTTCTCTATTTTATTTCATTTCAGCTTTATTTCCATTAATCAAAAGACTTTAAGACTTAATAACTAACAATAACAACAACGATCCAAAGTGATGTAAAAATCAGAATAATTCAAGCGACATTGTTTCACTCTGCAGTCTCTTGCGATGTAATATTGGTTGCAAAATAAACAATATTCCAGTCATGTAATATTCCTCAGATTAACATCAGGGTCCATTTTAGGGTTTATTTTATGATAATGAATGTCTGTTTATTCATTGCTCCATTAATAAACAGACATGCACACACAAACACAGAAGCCAAATGATACAATTTTGCACCAACACATAGATATCAACCACAATAACCACATAATTAAACTCAAACACAAAAGGTTAAATCATATATGTATGAATAGCAACTAAAGGAGCAGATGCAACTAAGAAAATTCCATTGTCTCAAGTCCTACTCTTTAGATGACATAATCTATCACTATGTATCACTTCAGATAAAGGCAATAGGCAACCTGAGACATCTATTTCTATATCTGTGAGAGGGAATCTGCAGCGAGAGGAACAGACTAAAAATACAGCGAGTGTGACAGAGAGAAAGAGCAGGCACAACTTTTATCAACTGTCCTGGAATTTCTCTCTCTCACACACAAACACACAATCACACAGCGGCACACAAACACAGACTGAACCTGTTTTCAGTAGGCCACCTCGCAGGGACAAATATAACTAACAACAGGACACTGCGTCCTTCACTGGCAGAGAGAAACACATTTGATGTCCTCAGACCCATTGGTGGATGACTGTTCAGTACATAAACAAGCCTTTAGCTTGCTAGTGATTGGTTGATTTATACAACATATTACCAGACATGTGACAGAAACTGCACAAGAATTAAATAAAAAAAATACATATAAACAATAAAAAATAATAAAATTAAAAATTAAACAAACAAACAAACTCCAACGAGAATGTGAAAGAGGAAGATACAGAGAATAAAGGGACATGTTTACCTGTACAATGCTGGGGTAGCAGGAGGCTGTCTGGGGGTAAACAGGGAGTCCGTAGGGCTGAAGGATTACTGTAGGGGAGGACAGCATGGTGCATAGCCAGAAAAAAGGAACAGCTAAAAGGGATGGGAGACTGGGGGGAGAGAGAAGGGAACGTGAGCTCTCTGAATCAAGAAAGTACCAGACTGAGAAAGTTTAGAATCCAAACAGAAGAGAAAAAAGATCCAGAGGTATGAAAAAGAAAAGGAGAAGATGAGTGGGCTGCACTGCACTGATGGCTGGCGTCACAACTTCTAGGCGACAAACAAAATAAGAATTAAATAAGGTAAAAATAAGACCCTCTCCGAAAGTTGAGAGTGCCAATTTAGTCTGTTTCACAAAAGGCAGAGGAGATCAGCACTGAAAGATCTCTGGGGGACACGGCGTGTGTGTGTGTGTGTGTGTGTGTGTGTCAGTGGGTATATTTGATAGACAGAAACACATGTTCAGAGTTGTGTTACACTTCTTTATAAATAGTCCACCTTCTTCCTTTAGTTGTGCTAGTATCACCAATAGAAATGAAACAGCTAGTCGCACAGTAATACAGAATTTAGTCCAAATTTAATGACACAGATTTGCCATCTGGCATCTACTGAAACAGACACAAGCAAATGCTACCTTAAAAAGTCAAAAATGTAAAAAAAATAGGAAAGTATAATGAAAGAGCAATTTGTTTTGCCTTGCACACCTATAAAGCTATCTCCACCTATAAATAAATAAATTAATAGTTTAAGGCATTTACAATTTTACAGTGCTGTGAGAAGAAAAACTCTAATTTGTCTCATTAATTGAATACTGCCTTTATGCTCATTATACCCGTCAATGTGAACCTTCAAAGGTGAGTGAATTTTTTCCTCTCTAGAAGCTCTCCTATAGCGCCTAATTATAACAGAAATGCAGCACGGAATTAAAATCATTCCAATGTCATAATCAATTACCATTGTCAAAACAGTCCAGCAACACGGCAATCAGGTTTCTCACTTGTAAATACGACTTCGTTGGCTATTCATGTGGTCGGAATTAATAAATATGATATTTCCGATTCTACCTGAATATAGCAAGTACCAATTATTCTGTGGGGAAAAAAATATTCTGTGGGAACTTACGTTAATTATCTTCTGTTCGCTCAGTTCTAGATAATAAGGCTTTTTAATTTCCTTTGTGGATCTACATAAAACTCTCTCTCTCTCTCTCTCTCTCTCTCGATTCATATTTTGACCAGTAGAGGGAAGCAGGCAATTCATAAATCGTTATGGGGTCATATGATGCAATTTCAAGTTTTCCTTTCTCTTTGGAGTGTTACAAGCTGTTCGTGAATAGATAAGATCCCTGAAGTTGCAAAGACTAAAGTCTCAAAACCAAAGAGATATTCTTTATCAAAGTTAAGACTCTGCCACACCCCCCTAAAACGGCTCGTTCTAACACGCCCCCACATATCTAGGTCACTATGTGGGAATATTTGCATAATGCGCCCAAATGTGCACGCAAAGAAAGAAGGCGTGGTCTGCACTAACTGCAGTTAGTGTTGAAGCAGCCATGTCAGAGAGATGCTGTGTGTTTCTAGGCAAAAGCAAAAGCACTTTATTTGGCCTTCCGAAAGTAGATGCATTACACAAAATAATGATCTTTAAAAAAGCATCATGTGACACCTTTAACGGAAAACAGTTCTTGCCGTACTCGCAAAGCTTTGTGGGTAATGTAGTTTACAAGGCACGTATAAATATCCGGGAAGTCCGAGCGCACGTTCTCTTTCCTTCGCGAGCCTGACACATATAGGTAATGGCGGCATAGACCTCTGTATTTCTGTTCTAGTTTCCTTCAAACGTTATTTCATGTATTATGTAGTAAGGGGCAGTTTTATATGCGCAGTACCTCGTTAGTAGGTTATATTATGTGGAGAAATGAGCTGTAACGCGCTGCTTGGCGCAACTTGTTTCGCAAGGCGCGTTCAGGCCTAACGTTAGTCACGAAGTGACACATTGCGCTGTTTTTCATATTAAAAAGAATCTCCACCTTGAGCTGTTGAGTTTAAGGTTTTTTAATTGGAATTTGAATTGCTGAATCGGAATTTGGTCCCATGATAAAGTATTTTGATATGAAGTGTAATGTAATTACCAGTACTAGATACGTGAATGAGTGTTAAAGTATAAATACATTACCACTCCTAATTTTTATATTAATTATTTTTATTTCTTCACAGGCAGTAAGTCGCCATGCCGGTTGCCAGGAGTTGGGTTTGTAGTAAGACCTACGTCACCCCCAGACGTCCCTTCGAGAAGTCACGTCTCGACCAGGAGTTGAAACTCATTGGTAAGGAAAAAATTAATTGAAGGAAATTAATTGACCGAAAGGTTTCTCTTTTTTTTTTTTTTTTTTTTTTTATAAATCTGGTTTTCTTTTTCTTCACAGGCGAGTATGGCCTCAGGAATAAGAGAGAAGTCTGGCGGGTGAAGTTCACTCTAGCCAAAATCCGCAAAGCTGCCAGAGAGCTTCTCACTCTGGACGAGAAGGATCCTAAGCGTCTCTTCGAAGGTAAATTATTTGATTTTTCTAAAACTTAATGGCCAGTGATTTTAAAAGTGCAAGTCAGATTGTCAGTGTTGCCAAGAATTCCTCGTCAATGAGGCCATATAACTGCTTAAAATAATTTAATGTCTGGTTTGCATCCATCAATCTTTTCCTCCCACTTACGTTTAACTTCTACTTCTAGGTAATGCTTTGCTCAGGCGTCTGGTGCGCATTGGTGTGCTGGATGAGGGCAAGATGAAGCTCGATTACATTCTGGGCTTGAAAGTGGAGGACTTCTTGGAGAGGAGGCTGCAGACTCAGGTCTTCAAGCTTGGCCTCGCCAAGAGCATCCACCATGCTCGTGTGCTCATCCGTCAGAGGCACATCCGGTAAGATGCTGAAGTACACAATGTGTATAGTTCAGGACTTTTAACCATGTAATCTGCATTTTCCTGTACATGTAGGTGTGTGTATAATGGTTACTGTCCTGATTGTCTGAACATGTGTATTGAGGTTTTCTTCCTCTTTCATTAGCTGACCATGTTTAAACTCCTCCTGGTGAGAGGGAATTAAATATTCCGCAAGGTCAATTCGGTGATTAAACCGTATACCTTTGCTTGTAAAAAAAAAAAAAAAAAAAGCCCAAAAACCACAGCTTCCCTTGACGTCTGGGGTGCTTTATTGCGTGAAACGGAGTCTACCAGGTAATGTGGGCGCTTTGGTAAAATAAGAAACTACACTTCTCTTGGCCAGTGATTAAACTTAAAACTGTCAGATTGTCAGTGGTGTCAAGAATTCCTCGTCAATGAGGCCTCGAGATCAGTAGCCTCAGTTCTGAAGTCCTGAATAGCCTTTGCACATTAGCCAAGTTATTTTTCTGATGTTCTGCAGGGTGCGTAAGCAGGTTGTGAACATCCCCTCCTTTGTGGTGAGGCTGGACAGCCAGAAGCACATCGACTTCTCTCTCCGCTCACCATACGGTGGTGGCCGCCCTGGCCGCGTCAAGAGAAAGAACGCCAAGAAGGCCCAGGGTGGTGGTGGAGGCGGTGATGATGAAGAGGAGGATTAAACTCATTCCTATCAGGGGTTATGAGGGACTCGGCAGTGCTTGCTTTTTCTCTTCTCCCTCAAGTTTTCAATAAAAAATGGTTTATTCCAAATTATTTTGTTGTCGCTTGTCATTTGAGTAACTAGATGTTTTATACAAGTAGGTATAATCAGTATTTAAAATGAATTGCCCATAAAGGTTTAAAATCCATATTTGTAGATTTTATGGGCCATAGTGAAATATCACTTCAGCAAATTAACTGCTCTGTTTTAGAAAACCCAAAGCTGCTGGACCCCAACTAGCCTAAGGATTGTGTCGTAAAACATCTTAAGACTTGAGTTGCATTGTGTGAAGTGTATTCCTGTGGGATATGGTAAATTAAAGTTCCACCTAATATTTCCTGTGAATGTTTGAGGTTTTTGATTAATTACCTGCTACATGTAAACAACTCAAAGAATAGCAAAGTGCAGTAAATGCTAAAACTTAGTGCTGCAAACCAGTGTTTGTTTCCAGTTTAATCTTAAATACCAGTTTGTAATTTAAAACAACATAGACGGGAACCTTGTACATGCATTAAAAATGAGGTGGAATAATTAAGAAAATTGAATAATACAGAAAATATGGCTAATGAGGTTTATTTTTTCTCCCATTATGAACTGAAATGTATTTAAAATACACATCAATATTTAATCACAGTTTACTGGATAAATTGCAGAAAAATAGTTTAAATTCCAGAAATGAAACCCACCTTCACTGGGATACATCAGCTATAAGCAGCCATCAAATCTATACTATGCCACTTCAAAGAAGACATTCAAATGATAATATACAGTTTATGAAATCTTATATATTCATATCTTTCTGATTGCACTTGGAGCTAGTAACAACTTACCTACAAAGTTTGTTAAAATATCTATTTACTTTATTGTGCTTTGCACTCTTCAATGGATCTTGAAATCTGTGGAAGTCTTTTTTGTGCTTAGGCCTCAGAATTAGTGACATCCTTCATCTACAAGTCGTCCTGGGGACTGGTTTGACCTCTTGTCTCAGTGTAGCCCATGTTGCTTGTCTGCTCACTATGAGTGAGACAAAATACGAAACTATAGGCAACTTCTGTGAGCAGCTGTAAGTTGCATTGCACTTAAGATACCTGTGAGATATTTTATGCATTTGTTCTTACCTCTCACCATCCTATTCCAGTGTTTTAGCAGTGAGAAAAAAGCAAAGAAAAGATGGTCATCCTTTAACATAACCACAAAAATTATGCAAAAATATATTGTTACAAATATTAAGAGACAATTGGTGTGTTACTGGTATTTGCTGACCTTTGGTCGCTGCCCTGCTACACCAACTGCCTTCTTTTGTACTCCCAAGGTATCGAACGAGTGGCTTCGTACCCTAATAGCTCTCTTAAGATGGAGAGAGATACTGATTTGAAGCTCATTTTAATGTCAAACAGTAGTAAGCACAATCCAGTAACATTATCAAGGCCTATTGTTTATTATTCTCATTGTGGTTTGAGATTATCTACCTTAAAGTTCTCAATGAATCCTCCTCCACCCTCTGGAACACTCCTCCCCCCTTCAGTGAGGGGGATGCTGGGCTGTGACGGCTCTCCCAACATGCATTGGGATAGGGAAGACAGTTCAGACCGCAGTGCTTCCAGAAGAGATGAACGTGTACGTAACTGAGATCATAAAAGGAGAGAAATAGAAGCGCAAGTCTTGTAACTTGAGGCTATGACATAAGTGAATGATTAGTTAACATGCTTTGTGTCTGGTTACCTCCAGTCGACTGAATTTCTCAGCCTTGTAGCAAGAGATTTCAGCATTTATAAGTTTGGTCAAGAGGAACTCTCTTAAAACTGAGCCCTGGAAGTGGAAATTCAGAGCATCATTCAGAGCGAGATTCAGAGTGTGACTTGCATGTTTTGTTTATTTTATAAACCTTCACATATGTGACCTTGGACCACATAACCAGTCATAAGTAGCACATTTGTAGCAATAGCCAATTACATGGGCCAAAATTATCGATTTTTCTTTTATGCCAAAAATCATTAGGATATTAAGTAAAGATCATGTTCCATGAAGATATTTTGTAAATTCCCTGCCGTAAATATATAAAAAGGTAATTTTTGATTAGTAATATGCATTGCTAAGAACTTCATTTGGACCACTTTAAAGGCAATTTTCTCAATATTTTGATTTTTTTGCACCCTCAGATTCCAGATTTTCAAATAGTTGTACATCAGCCAAATATTGTCCTATCCTAAAAAAAAAAAACATACATCAATGGAAAGCTTAATTATTCAGCTTTCAGATGATGTATAGGTCACATATAATCAGGGCTGTACAGGGCGACATATATGTCGCACGTGCTACAAAAAAACTGGTCTGTGCAATGAATAAATTTACCACTGTAGCACGGGTGCGATACAATTTTGCATGTTCATAACAAAAATGAAAGTAAACAGTCGAGAGAGAAACGCATGAAGCTCTTAAAGGGGCAGTAGATACTAAATATGCTGCCACCTGTCATTAAAGGGATAGTTCACCCAAAAAATTTTTGTTTAAAACAATTTTTGTGATGGTTTGTATTTTTTGTGCTCTTTGGAACATCAATGTCTGTTTAAGTGATGAACTCTATTACTTATGTTTGTTTTCAGACATGATAACAGACGTTTTATACTTGTGCTACAACTTTTTGGCCTGTGCTACAAAACTTTCAACCTCTGTAGCACCAGTGCTATGTGAAAAAAAAGTTAACGTACAGCCCTGCATATAATGATACTTGTAAAGGAAATTGAGTAGGTCTATAACCCTGTTTCTTATTTTAGACCATATAGAAATTAACTGGATTGATGTAATAAAGTTGAGAGCTGTCTTGTTAAAACTTCTGAATTATTATAAGTCATATGATCTCACCTCTGTAAAAATGGGCGGTGTAGGAAGCGGTGGGCCAAATGGGGGTACATCCTCCCTAGCGGTGACAGATACCTGTCAATCAAACAAGAGGCTTTGGAGCTGTGTGTTGCACAGTGAGTGCTGTGAAACGTAACGATTTTTTTTTTCTTTTTTTCTTTTTTTTTTTTACCTGAAATGATCCCCCGTCTCCTCCCTCTCCCTCATTCTCTCTCTTTATCCTCCTCACTGCAATGAAACAGTGCAAGAAGTGGGATCTGATCACATCTGAAATGAAGGGAGTGTTACCCTCCTGATAGACCAGGGCAACAATATCATTCCCAATGTGTCTTTTTCTCTGCAACTGAGGGGAAAACCCGATGAGTAGAGTTGTAATTCAAGGAAAAAAAAGTTGAAGGACTTCGCAAAGCACTTATCATTCTACTTCATTGATTGTTCCATTCTGTGATTTAGTAGTAGGGATTTCAGTGACTCTTATTTCAGGCTATATTAATACACCAGTAGGTGGTGACAAGTGACTGTCTTTTTGATTGAATCAAATATTTAACTGAAGTGATATATTCAGACGCACTATTCAGGAATAAAACAAGTGACTCAACAGATTCGTTCAACCACATTGATTCATTCAGAGACAAAATCACCACTAGTACTGTGTGTTGCTGGAGTGTGGATTGGACTTGGAAATATTGCACTGGCGATGCAAAAATATACAAAGCAGGCCTAACTATTTACAATATAAGTGTCTAAAATGTAAGTTACCTATTAGTTACTGTTGAATTTTTGCTTAAAAGCAATATCACACGCATTCGTTCTGTTGGTCTGAATATATCAGCATACATTATAATATGCATTATGGTACAGTAATTTGGTAAAAGATGTTAACAGAACATTTACATCTAATAATACTTTAATCAAGTTTCACCTGTTGTGTATCTCCTTCTGTGAACGGTAGTTTAGTGGCGACATGGAACATAATCTCACGTCCATGGAAGGAGGTGAAAACCGCTTCATTTCCTGTCTGGCCATGAGAAACATCCAGACCTCCCCTGAAACTAGGAGATGGAAAATGATGATGTCCTTTTGACAGGTGACAATAAATTCAAAAGTAGTGTTTTGTTATTAATGTTAATATTGATATTGATAATGATATCAATCAATACACGAGTCTTAACCCTCTTACCCAGTAAATCCTTGCAGTTTGACCGTCTGTCCAAGTATTGATAAAAACTCTAAAAACTCCTCACTTTCCTCATTGTTACTAAGAATATCTTCCTCTGTTAACTACGTCACATACATTGGAACAAAATACAAAACAATGGAAGAATAACATAAAAAAATACAAATATCCATTTAAGCTATTATAGACTGAAGTCCTAGTCAACAAAACATAACGTTTGTTATTAAAAATAGGTGAATTAAAGAATCATATCTTAGTATCTGCATACCTGTCCTTCTCTCTGGCATAAGACACCAAATTTAAAGTTTTGAGACACTCTGTGTTCATCAAACGCCATTATGATCTCTGGGGCCTTCAGATGCAGAAAGAGAAGACAAGAAAACTGTATTGTGTCAGAAAAAAGATAAATGAAAATTGTATTGATCATGTCAGAAAAGTTTTTACTTTATGAAATTTGTCAGTTTATAAAATCAGAATGGAGTCTTATATTAACTCTTCCACCAGATCATAGTAAACAAATTAGACAAGTGAAGATGTACCTTTAAGTAACTCACAGCCTCAAAACATGTGACACTGACACTTGAGCACAACATCTAAAATAAAGCAAATCAAAACAAACTGAACTTCTATTCACTTTCATTTAAATGTGAATCAGGTAGAACCAGTTGTGCGGTTGTGAAATACCTTTGCCAGCTCCACTGCCGTGGGGAATTGTTGAAAGAGCGAAACAGAGAATGTGCCATGAATTGAGCACTCCTTCATCCTGATTAGATGAAAAAGAAAACTGATCAGGTTGGTCTTGAACAGTCAGTAACTATCATTATAATGAACAACATTTAAGGTGCTCACAAAATACACACCTCAAAATGACTCTCAGGCGATTTTCCTCTTCCTCAAGACAAACAGATAAAACTAGGGGCCCAAGAGAGGAGTCACAGGCGGTGAACGAATGATGATACTGCAGCAAACATGAAAGAAAAGCATGAGTGTGTGAGGGCCTCTTCAACAGGGTTATAAGGGTTTGAAGTTTTTCAAATGAAAAAAAAAGAAAATAAAAAATGATCACTGACTCTGTGGCGGAAGAATTCCTGATAGACTTTAGCTTCACTGTCTCTCTCCATTATGTCATAGCTCTCCAGACCAAAACCCCCCTGTGAGAGAGTAGGGCTGGTCTCCACATGTCTATCCAGGGGAGGGTCGATCCAATAACCTCCAGATTTAGGGGGCAAGATGAGAGGTAAGCCATCTCCAATCTTTAACAGCTGTGTCTGAGTGATCAATAGTAATTGTGTAAGTGGGAACTTGAAACTACTCTATCATTCAAAGGTTCTGAGTCAGTAAGATTTTTTTATATTTTTGAAAGATGTTCACCAAGGCTGCATTTATTGCTTATTATGTAAAATATTGTGAAAGATATTGTGAAATATTACAATGTAATATTTGCATTTTTTCCCACTGATGTCAAAGCTAAATTTCAGCAGCCATTACTCCAGTCTTGAATAAAAGTACATCTTTAAAAAACAAAAAAAAAATCTTACCGACCTCTAACTTATAATATATGAACAAGTAAATTAGGGTGTTTCTTCAATTACAGGCACTTTTGGCCCTCTGGGACTTTTAGACAAGAAACTCTTTTAAATGCATCTCTTTAAATGCTCTTTTAAATGCAACTCTTATACATGCACTAGTAGAATCATTTTTTATAAACATAAATTTCCAACACAATGAAACTTCCACCACATCTCAAATTATGTATTGTGTTTAAAAGTATTCCGTGATGGGAATAGACTAAAACAGTAAAATACATCAAAATTGAAAACCTTGGCCTTCATATATTAAAAATGGTACATAAAAGTGCTTAAAGTTGAAGAAACACTCCTTATGATTTCCTAGTTTCCTATAGACTGAAACTATGCCATAAACAAACAAAACGTTTTGGGCTAAAATCCCTACCCTCAGAGGTGGTGGGAACTCACAACGCTGTTCATCCAATCTGCTACCCTGCAAACACAACCACAGAGAAATCATCATCATCACTGCAACAGAACAAGACAACTGTATTTACACTGTTGTTGTTTACATGGAGAGAGAGAAAGATGATGTTACCTGTAGCTTTTCAATGATTGCAAACAACTCTGTGACCTGCAGAGAAATGACAAGGGAATGACAGAAATGGTGAAAGTGCCACATAATCAAAATATTACTGATGCAGAATGTGAATTGTCCAGTTTCTCCTCAATGTTTGGAAATTATTCATAATTCAGATATGAACATCTGGAGAGAACATCATCTCCATAGTGTCATTTTCAACACCTTTAGAACATCTAAAATAGGAGATTTCTTACCTTCTGACTGGACGGTGCAGAAGTGAGTGGCTTAGCCTCACTGGAGGGGGAATCCAAAATATCCAGTATGCTGTGACCCACAGATTCTGCACAGCTGTAACAGAGACAAGTGTTCTGGAAAAGTCTGCATGCGGTAACTGAGTTCAAACAACCTGAGCACAGCAACAAACCCAAACTCTAGCTGACCTGCTCTCATTTCCAGTGATGAACTTGTCAATCCTGCGTACAGCGTAAAGATGCCACATGACAAGATATCCTTAAGCACTGTGTTCAAATTACAGCAGTGGCTAAATGTTATTTGTCATATCCACTCACCCTCCGTAAGCTCCGAATGTGAAACTTCTTTTCCTGGAGAACAACTTCTCGTTTCTCCCCTCCATGGTAAGTGTTTATTACAGACAGCCACAGAAATATGCTAGCCAGGCATGCAGGCCATCACTCCTGAATTAACTGCTTCTCTCTGTCTCTCTGTGTGTGTATGTATCTCTCTCTCTCTTTTCTCTCTGCCCCCTGCCACTCTCTCATTTAATCTCTCCCTACATCCTTCCTTGTCTCCTGCTGCCTGTTGACTGACAGGAGTAACTCTTGCATGCCCATCTCCTGCCACTGACATCAGAGGTCGGTGAACTACTGCACATATACAGACCAACTAAAAGCCTTTGAATAGATACAATGGTGAATATTCACTCACTGAAATCGTTTAAAAGCGTTTGTGTAGCGTTTATGCAGCTGCTCTAAAAAACCTGCCCTGGGAGGAGGCAAAGATACGTGAATGGGCAATGGACTATTGCTATAGACCTGTTACCCTTTCAGTAAGCAAGATTCATCAATTATTGACCGAACTCTCTTAGAGAGAGGAGGCAAGGCAGCAGGGGAGAGAGGGCGAGAGGGAGGGAGCAGGAAAAAGAGGAAGAGAGAGAGAGGGTCAAGAGCCTTTACTGACAAGAGAATACAGAAATGAAAAAGTGATATTGAGGGGGCTGACACAAAAAAATATCTATATATTTTTCCCTCTCAGACAGGAATCTTTATTAATTTTTGTCTTTAATTGGTCTTAAAACTATTTATTTACATATTGCTTAAAATGTCCAGTGGATATGTCATATAAAGTGATTACATGTAAAAGTGTTACAATGCATTTTATTTGTAAAAATTACACTGCAGTATGGTTCCTCAACCTGGAGTTAGTGTAGTCCTCAACCTTTGTCCTTAAACCTAAATAATTTATCTTAAATTTAATGTATCCTGTCACCCATCTACACATGACATGAGCATTGCATTGTGTTACAAGCAAATAAAGATCAGGAATTTTGCATGCAGATTTCACATTGTGTTCAAGTTGGTCATGGTGTCACATGAATTCGCCCTGCTGACCAACAAAAAAGTGCTTGGTTTGAAAGTGACTTTTGTGTGAGCTACATTACTTCACTTTTGGCAACTTTTTTTTTTTTTTTTTGCAAAAAGTGACTGCACTTTAACTCATTCCATTTACAACGTACTGTATGCGATTCTGCTACTTCCAACAACAGGACAAATGGATTTAAAACTTTGACGCATCCACTGTAGACAGTTTCTGTGTCTGAAAATCCCCACTGTTTTCTCATTCACTGATCCCTGTGTCAGTCCACTTATATAGTCCACTTGAAGGAGTGAATGAAAATGAGTGAATTCAGGCTGCCATTTTTGCATATGTTTTTGTTACTGTTTAATGATCATTTGGCAATTAGCTAACTGGCAAGTTCCACTTGTTAATGATCTTGAAATCTGTCATGGTGGCATTTGCCACAGTGTTGCTATGTGGTTGCTAGGTGTTCTGAATATTGTTAGGGGTGTTGCTGGGGTGGTTTTTAGGTTGCTTTCTGGCCCCATTAAAAGAGTCCACTACCTTTAGTGCAAGTATGGGGTGATTTTACCCACTTCTATTGGAAAATCCTAACTCCAATTTGCTTAGAAACATACTAGCTTAAAGATTTGGAACCCTGACCCTAAATATCAGCAATAATCAATAATCAACAAAAATATTTTGTACATTCTTTTTTTAGAAAGGTGTTTTCTTTATATTCAAAACTATATGAATTCTGACTGATATGTGAACAACTGACCTATGGAGAAATAAAACCAGAACTATGTATTTTTATAGTTCCTTATTATAATAATTCTTGTATTTTAGCACAACATGCACACTGAATTCTCTAAATGTCAGCCTCACTAACAGATTTGAGATTTGAAGACGGAAAAAAAATTTGTTTCGTCTCAACACACTGTCCTTAAGATCACATTAAAAAGAAGAAATAAATAACAAAAATGATGATAATAGTAATTGCTACATAACTCCTAGAAGTTCTTCTAAGTTCTAAAGCTTCACTTTATGTGTCTTTCTGGAAGATCAGATTGAGAACAGCCAGGAAACAGGCCAGAACCTCTTATTCACAGAAAACACGCAGTTCATCAATTTTCTGCTGTATTGCTTCATTCTTTCTCAGGTAATTCCAGTAGAAATCTCTGGGTTCTCGTCCATTCTTGTGGTAGTGTCCGATCACCATGACAGCCCTGTCAGAGGTGAAGCCTTGTGTTTGTTTTGCTGCCCTGTTTAGGATGTACATGTAGGCCTGAACTTGATAATAGTACTCGTGTGTTTCATTCAGGTGTGCATGACGACCACCATTTTTTGGTTTAGTGAAGACTTTGCCCACCATATCTCCAGTGGTTCCTTTACACTCAATCACCATTTTTTCCCCTTTTACTTCTGCTAAGAAGTCCAATCTTCCAGAGAGGAATCCAAAGTCTACTTTGTTACTTTTGGTGTATCTCACTCTCATGTTTGTACCAGTTTCTCGCAGCTCGTGGTAGAACTTGAGGCATTCACGTTCATCTCCTGGGTTCTGGAAATATTTGCCGAACTTTTGTGGAGAGGAGGTTGTCCAGAGAGCTGACTCGTCAGCATAGTCTCTGTTCTCAATGTCACAGACATTCACTGTCACACCGGCAGAAATATTTGCAAGATTGTCTCCAACTTCTAAATGTCTCCAGCTCCTTGTCTGTGTTGTAGCATACATCGTGGGTGTGGAGATGGCTTCTGTCTGGTATTTGTCCCTGAACCTGAATCCACAACTTGTGTTTGATACATTCTTTCTCCACTGCGATCTTAGAGCTTCCTCTGAACCTTTTCTTTTTTCAAAGAAAATCATCACTGTGAGTTCAAGAATTTTTCCATTGTCTTTCAGTGGCAGTGAGTTCTTTAGTTCCCGGCAGCCGAGACGTGGAATGCTGTTAAACTGAAGCTTGAAGTTTTCCAGTTCTTTTACAATATCCTGGGCTTTCTGAATGATGCCTGCATTCTCTGAGAGCCTAATGACTTTCTGGTTCAGTACACCGTTGGGCAAGTTCATTCGAAGTGACTTTAGAAGTACTAGGTAGTCGCTTACTGATATTCCACTGGTGCTGGTGCTTGAAACAGGCTGAGCTTTTTCAGGCAAAAAAACCCTAGAACGGTGCCCAGATCCTGCTTTTGAACTGCCCCCAAAACCTTGCTTTTCTGTTCCTCTTTCATTCTTTCCACCCGTGCTTCCAGTCCAGCCATACCCCATCCTTATTTTCAGTTCTAGCTCGTAGAAGTTGTCATCATCCCATACCTTCTGTTCATTCAACCAATTTCCCTTCTTCCAGCTCCCATCTTTCAATTCACCCACTCTGGATCTTGAAGGCTCCATGTTATTATCTTTAAAATTCTTTACACCTAGAAAATATTCGAATTGGGGAAATTAATGTAATAAAAAATTAATAAATACAATAAAATAAAATAAAATAATAAAATAAAATAAAAATGATATGTACTTTAATACTCCACAACATTAGGCATGTAAAACCTGCAACAAAACATATTTTTCCACCTCAGCCCTTTTAAAAATGTTATTGAGTATTTCAGTATAACATTTACATTTAGTCATTTTGCAGACGCTTTTATCCAAAGCGACTTACAATTGGGGAATACATAAAGCGATTCTTCTTAAGAGGCAAACAGACACAGGAAGTGCTCGTAATACCAAGTTTCAGGCATTGTTCAAATAAGTACAAGCTAGAACGGGAAGGAATAAATAAAGAGAAAGTCAAAGTTTTTTTTTTTTAAATTTAGGATGAAGTCAAGTAGTGTCGAAAGAGATGAGTTTTCAGCTGTCGCTTGAAATAATAAAAATATCAAATCAATATGTAATTTGACAAGATTTAATTAAATAGTTCTTTAATTCATAATAATGAAGATACTAACCTGATTATATGATGTTAGGATAAACTAACACTTTAAAAGTCAGAGGACTGAATCATTATTGTATACAAATTACGGCACCTGGAAATTTTCATGTCACACCCTGTCATGTGATCTCTATGCTTTGTTAGTCATAGGATTTTATCTCTTCTTTTAAAATGTTAACATTTCACTTTTGTTTAGCACATCATGATAATCTATATTAACCATTTATGTTTTTTTTTTATAATTATGTTTGTATAGCAGTTGTGTATATTTTGTGTAGCCCTATATTTATATACACATTATACACATGTATATTACACAACAAATAATTGGTTTTGTCCTGACAGTACTAATATGTCTTATACATAATATACTGTATATAATACATACCTTCTCTAAAATAGTAGAGAAAATATATACTTACTGAGGTTTTCATCTGATTCAAGCAGTCGAATCATAACAAGCCTGCATGCGCATACTTGACTCCCTGTGTTTATGTTGTCAGGTGAGACGTCAGCTGAATAACAGGTCAGCCCAGATTGCAAATAAGCCCTTTCATTTTCCATTCACCTGATTGCATGTGTGTTCATATCATGTTTTAATTTTTCTTGTAAATCATTAGATGTCAGTGTAGGTCATACAAAAATGACTTGCATAAATCTCTTTAAAGATGAACATGTTTTCAATTTCTGAAATAAATGTTTTAAAATTAAATTAATTTGAATAGTTGAATATAGGAATTATGAATATAATTATGAATATGTTTTAAAATACAAATAATATTTGAATTACATTTTGTTTAAAATACTTTTTTTGAAAATTGTGTAATCCTTTAGGCTGTTTATGCTTATTGAATGAAAGAAAGTGAAACTGTTTTAATGGGTCACCATTTGATTTAGTTTATTTTAATTAATTAATTTATTTTATTTATTTTTGACATAAATAATATTTGCAATAATCGAAATGTTTGATTTTAAATTCAAGAGCTTGGCGTTCGTGTTTTCGCTGGATTATTTTATCTATTTCTTGTTATCTCTAACCTGTATTAGCGTATGTATTGCAAGTGTGTATTTATTTATTAATTGTACAGACAGACAGACGGACTTTTATTGTGTAATTATATGACACCGCTGCAGACATCTATCTGGCACGTCATTTTTGGCGCCGGAAAAAGAATAGT